GGGTTCTATACTTATCTCTGGTGTTTGACTTTACCTATTAAACTTTAATGCACAGTAAATTAAAACACAATTTAATCTAGTGCTGCAGGTGAACCGCCGAACCGAGGCAAAAAACATCAAACAGGGCACTTTTGAACCGAACCAAACTGTTTGGTTCGGATGTACGGCTTTAATAAGGCATTTTATTGATGGCACGCGGCAAAACATACAAAAATACAAGAAAACTTAATAAAAAACAAACACAACGAAAAATGGATAACGAGTTATACGGCGTGCTCCACACGTGCGTGAACATACTAAAACTTATGGAGTTCCATAGTCACCCACGCACCGTGAAAGCACGCTCTTCGTCGCTGTGGAGACAAGGCAACTGCTGCTTTGATTCACTGCACACAGCACATAACGGAAACATCAGGTGTCCACAGGTCTTGTTGGGGAGTATTGGATGGTACGATCCTCTGGCAGGAAGCACTTTACACTGGACAAGACCCTCGTATTCACTAATGTCACGGAAGTTTTCCGTGACAATGAAGGGATGACCGATGGGATATTTGCCGTACTTGTTGACCTACTGGTATAGACTGGTAAAGTCAACGTAATTGATTTTCTCCTGTGGACCAGCTTCGTAATAGAGTCTAGTGGCATTGGTGCGTCCTCCGCAGAAGGCGTCCCGAGAAAGGGGTGTGGGGATATCCGAATTCGAGATGAATTCTTTCATTTCTATGTTGTGCTTTTATTCCGCATCGAATTCACATTCCCACTGCTCAATATAACAATAGCTTCGGTCGGTGATGAACTTACGTCTGTATACAGTTCTCTGATATAATTCTTCCATGGTGAGGCCATTGAAAGGATGTTTAGTATCCCGATCCAGGCAAGTATGTCCATGATGGAGACAGCCGTTAAACTCCAAGACAGTTCCAACGCCATCATTGATGTAGAACCCGTCAACCTTATACTAGCCCACTTGCACTTCAACATTGTTAGCCGCATGCCGAATGCTATGGCCGGTCTAATGAGCCGTCCATTTTAGCCACTGCAGAGCCTTGACTGACTGACGGTCGTTGGATCGATATCCCAGAGGATGTATGATGCCGATGGACCAGCCTCCAAGTACTTGGTCCTGTATACCAAGTTACATGCCGAGGCGATGGTGATACAATGCTGAAACGGGTCAATGCCAGGAGTAGTCTCATAGGACGTCTTGTCCATAAACAGCGACCTAAAGCGCAGACAGCAACGGCGAAGAATGTCGACGTCGGACTGACAGTATTTGATGATTTCTTTCTTGAAATCAAAGGAGTCATTTCGGTGCAGCTCGTACCATTTAATAAACTTCTCTCGCTTGGCTGGTTTCATGGCGTCAGGGTTATAATGTCACATGTCGGGGAGGTGGGACAGGACTTTGTCTTGATTGGCTCTTGTATTGAAGAACTGTGGGAAGTAGCCCTTCGCCAACTCTTTCAGGCCAAATGCACTGGGGAGTTTGGAGAGGGCCATGGGCAGGAAATTTAAGGAATCGGTAAACTTCATGTCATTGACTGCAACCTTGATGCTCATGACCTTGTCCCCATTGAGGATGACCTCGGGTAGGAGTGCATTATCGTACAAGTATCGAAGAATAAAGAAAGAATCATATCCTTTGAAATTGTGACATATGACGACGGCTCCTGCATTGTCCTCCCCAAAAAGCTATTCAAAAAATTCTTTTAAGATATTGGGCCCATAAAAAACGCGCTCTCGCTCCCCGCAATGTTGACACATGACGACATCTCAGTCTGGGCACTGATTACACACCTTTTGTGCTACGCAAAGATTGGGTTCGTGTGTACCGGTCTCCTGTACACAGTCGAAGTCGAGAAAAATGTAACTCGTAAAACTGACGTCTTCTTGTATTTTTGAATCTTTTTCCACTTCTTCGTCTGGCACTTTGCGGTCAGTAGAATTGTCTTTTCCCTCCACAACCGGCTGCATGTAGCAGAGATGATCAGGGGGGACAAACTCTCTACAGATGCTGCAGTATTTATCTCCACATCTATGATCTTGAATTCCAAGGCGTCTACGGCTGATAAACTTATCACATTCCAGACATCGGAAGTGAGTTTTGCAAACTGATGAACCTCGACTATTTTTCTTGCCGTGATTTTCGAAGCAAACTGTGCTTTTAAAGTGACGGTTGCAGTCGTTGCAATACACCCACTCCCCTTCAACATAATCTGGTTGAAAGCACAGCTTACATGCGTTGTGACAGCGGTGGTCTTCTGGTTGGTCGTAGCCCTTTAAGCAGGTCACACAAAAGTAGTTTCGGTTGATAAATGCTTGCATTTTTGTGATGACCTTGTAGTGGCCGTGGTGGAAAACATGTTCGAACGTGTCCAGTTGTTTACGTCCATCGATGACTCAGGACCGTGACGTCACGGCATTGCTCTCCGACCATTCAACACAGGCCTATTGCACCGCTGTTTCCGTGTGTGTTCAACGGGGAACACCGGTTGTGCGCATGTGTCATTTTTTTGTCGAGGTCAGGCAGGTTGCATAATTCATGAGTCTTGACCCATTTTGTAAACACTGCCTAGTAGTCATGGTTATGCTGAATATTCACAATTTTTACATACAATTGCAACAGGAGAAGCAACTGAAATGAATTTCTTAAGCGCGAAATTCAAAGCTAAACTAAACTGCTCCGATTTTGTTTTTCTGGCGAGGGAAGATTTACAGATGAAAATTCTATATGACCTAGAGTTTTCCTAACTTAAAACAACACATAAACCACAAAACAACTCTTCATCTTACAAACTGTATTTTCTCTTCTGTGCAAACCCCACGGTTATCGAGAAATGTGGACTTAACATGGGTGATATTTTCAGCCTGAACCACCATTTCGGTAGCCTGCGTAAGCGCGGTATCCATGCCAGACTACATGTACATATATATCACGCGCGGGCAACCTGCCCGACTGATAGTGCATACCCGCCTGACTAGAAAAAAAAATCCTGGGCGACAAGCACTTTAAATCATGACCTTTAAATTATGCACGTAAATTATGACCTCCTAGCAGTGCAAAATAACATCCACTTTCTGATATATAAACAGGTTGGGTGGGGTATTGTCAAAACCTTCAAATGACTGTTATTTTAAATAACAGCCTCAGAGGTTGATAAATGAAATAGTCTTCTTTTCAGATTACATGTACACGTACTTTCAAAAACTACATAATATGTGGATCATTTTTACTTGAAAGAAAATTTGAAATTGCTGTCTTACACTTAAACCGTTTGTTTTATTTTGTCACATTTTAATACCTTAAAAAAATAGTTCTGGAACTACGTACCAATCAAAAAGGAAAGAACAAAGCTACTCTTGACAGATGTTTCAAGGATACAAGCATGGAAATTTGTTACTTTTAACTGACAGACTATTGGAAAGTGGCTCTTTGATTATGGATCACATACACAATCTCCAGAAATTATGCAGAATATGTGCCGAGAGAGTAAATCCATGGAAAATCCATAACAGACAACCTACGCCTTGCTCAGAAAATCAAGAAAAGATACAAGCAAAGTATAAAATCAGTGTAGAAACCGATGAGCCACACCGCCACCCTCCCTTCATTTGCCATCTTTGTAATTGAAATCTTTATCTTGCAGGGACACAACCTGTGCCAAATGATTGCCCCCCACCCTCCAACAGGCCCCTGCTTAATTTGTGACAAGGTGAACATTTTTAAAAGAGGTGGTCGTCCTTCGAAAAGGGAAACATGCTCGTCTTATGACTCTTGACATGGAAGAGGAGACAGCTAAGGCAACAGTACAGAGGAACTTTGAGTGGCTTAGGCAAACAACAACTCTTTCATTTGCAAGTACTGCTGCAAAATTTTCAACAGACCTACAGAAACACAGTGTGAGCACATTGTTTGCTTGCAATGCTTAAAGGAGCTGTTTTCGAAATCTTCATCTTCAACAGTTCTTTGTTCAGTATGTAAGAAGCAAATCAGCCTTCTTCATATCCATCCTGCCAAGCACTACTTTGTGAATGTCCTCATCAGTGGGAGGGTCAAGTGCAAGAAATGCAACCAAAGCAGTTGGCTTAAAAATGTAGAAAGACATGACTGCAGTAATCCACAAAGTTCAGCACCTGTCGATGAGAAGATATTCAGAGATAGTCTTAATACAAATATTGCTTCCCTTGGTAAGGTTGGTCAACAGATGACATCCAGTCTACTGAAAACACAGTTTCAAAATACAGGTGGCCAAGAGAACGCGGCAAAATTGTCGACTGGTGTCGAGGTGAGTTCATGTGAAGAACTCAGTTTTTGTATTTAAAAACGATGCATCTCTTCATTATAAAAATCCGCAAAACAAATCACCAATTAGCAACTGGGTAATATCTCAGTTCATTGTTTTCCTAGATGATGAGTGTAGTTACAGGTTTTTCATAGCATTTCATACCATTAAGGCAAGTCTTAAATGAGGTAAACAAGTCCCTCCCCATAGTAATGGCACTGATTAAAACACAAAAGGTAATACTTTATACAAAATATTCAGGAATTTACTGATAGTAAAAATCAGTCAATGTCCTCAATGTTTCAATTTAAATTGATATTTTGTGTCTTTTAATCAGTGGCCTTGTTATGGGAGGAAGTTCCGTGGAACAAAGCAAACGTACACGTACCTCTGTGAAACTTCAGACAATATGCGAAGTACCACCACACTCTCTCCCTGCGCAGGTGAAAAAAATTATTTTACATAAAAATCAGTTTGGAATATTTTGTTTTTCCTTTGATTAAAGGCAATGTGCATTCAGAAATTGCCTTCACTACAGGAAGCAAGCAGTGAGGTTTCACAACGTACTCTCCGAACAAGAACCAAAAGACTGAGACAGCACTTAGACAATGTTACAGGAGGCCAACCTGCCATACAACTGAAGCATGTTCTAAATAGCACCACAACTAGATGCGAATTGAAAGACCTCCATGAAAAAATGGAAATGAAAGTTTGCATCCCCCCCACTTCAGGAGTTGGCACTCAAGTCCGATTTAAGGTTGTCATGGTCTGCTCTCTAGAGCTCAAGCTGTAAGTTGATACATGATTCATAACTGAATTGAAAATATGTATTATTTTCTTACAACCTCCTGAAATAAAATGGAGTTACGGTGATCACAATGAAGATATATTTAACTTTAATTCTTTCATTAGGTGGCTAAGGCAGTATAACGTCATAATGGCCCGTGAGAAGAACAGTAGGAGCATTGGTCAGTTGTCCGTTGGTCAAGAGTTACTTTAGGGAGAAACTCTTCCCGTTTGTTTGCAAGGAAGGAGATGCCCTTGTCACCAAGCCAGCACCCTGTCTTTTCATCACAGATCTCAGAAAGTATATACTGGCCTTGCTGGATGAATATGAGAGGTAAAAGAAGGTATTCGGGAAAACAAATCACCTGATTTGCCACATGTTCAATATAGTCCTTATGATTCCTCATGAATGCATGCATCCAGCTCATTGCCATTCACATGTTTTTATCAGAGTCTATGAAAGATGTCTCATGCCTTCACCTATTATGAAAACATTAAAAACTTGCATGAAAAAAGTAGAATTTGCTTGGCGCATTTAACATTTCTTTTAAAAAGTCATTCAATTTTTCCTTGAAAGGTGTGACAAGCTAAAATGGGACCGTGCACAACCTCATGATGAGGTGTGGATAAAGCTTGGAGGTGACACGGGAGGAGGCACTTTCAAATTCATGGTTGAAGTTGCAAACATCGATAGCCCAAACTCAAGGAGGAACACCAGTGTTGTGTGTGCATTTGCTGCAAATGACTCAGCTATCTGCACATGGCCCTGGACAGCTTCAACACCCAAGTGAAAGACATTGCAAACACTACATGGAGGTACACATGCTGATGGACAGCTGCAGTTCATCATTTGGAATATGAACGAATTGGCATGAATTCGTAACTTCATATAATTCCCAAATGAACTGACTTTGTTAACAATTCTGTCTTTGTTTAGGGAGAAGAAGCTGGTTCCTTACCTGTTTGGGGACTATGAGTTTTAAACTATGTGACTTAAACTAAACAGAAATTCAACACTCACAACTTGGAAATGACAGACATTTGTTTTAAAACTCAACTAAAAAAAAAAATCATACATTTGCAGGTCGTCACCCTTGTCTATTGTGCACTGTCTGCACAAATGACATGGTGCTTCCTAGAACTCAACAAGCGCATGCTGAGCCAAGAACAATGGAAACTCTCAAACGTGATCAAGGGCGCTTCTTAGCATCTGGTGGAATGCTTTACAAGGCCAAGCTCTTCAACAATGTTATCAGTGAAACATTCTTTGATATACCAATCTCATCTGTACGTCTTGTACCATGAACAGTTCAGAATTTAAGTGTTATTTTTGTGATTTGTGTATTTCACTTATAACAAAAATTCTTCACCTTAAGCGTTCTGTTTTGGCAATGATGCGCACTATATTTCAAACCTGTTCAAAATGGCTATGCATCATTTTTGTCTATTTTGTTCATGGTAATTTTGTCAGTTTTTCCCCTTGCCACTCCATATCAGCCTCGGGATCTGGTTCAAGATGTTCTCCCTAATGGAGAAAGAATGTCAGCAACTTGGGGAGCGGATTGCCTGGGAATGCGCTAACTCCCAGTCACCCAACGATGCTGCAGCAAGAGACAGTCCTTTTGCTCAGCACGTCACACAACTAAGATAAGTTATTTCAGCAAGAACTCGTGCTGAGGAAATCCGAGTTGAGCTGAGTGAGATGCAAGAGGGACTAGCTGTGGTGGCTCTCCTAAATGAAAGTATTAATGTAGATGAGGTTACAGCCAGCCTCACTTAAGATATAAATGCAATGCAAGAGGATTTCCTTACCCTTTGTGTATGTGGCATTACATGATGTTGTCTGAAAAAAAACAAATAACAGTTAAACACAGTGGACCTTTTTCCTGCAGCAAACCAAGGCACAGAGCAGCACAACTCTGGATAAACCAAAGAACCCTCTTCTTGCCAAACTTGCAATATGTCTTCAAGAAATAAAGGTTCGGAGACAGGCTTATTATTCAAATACATTCATTGGCAACCAAGTCAACAAGTGTGTTAAGGTATGTACATGTTTATTTTTTCCTAAGTAGAAGTATATATGTGATGTCAGTACTTGCATATACATGATTGTTTGACACTAATGAACAATTTTTCTTCATGCACTCAGAAGAAAAATATCATTAAGATCACACAAGCCATTGTAGAAGAAACTTTGCATCTGTGTCCATCTTGGTCGAGGAGGATGAAGTAATAGCTGCAAAATATGAACACCTCTTCACGCTCTTTGCATCATGTCATGGTGCATACAACACAGCAAGTGTTCTCAGTGATGCTGAAATTGACAAACTTTGTAAGTTTCTGGTAGTTTTGGGATTGAAAATGTTTATTACACAAACATGCATTTCAAAATGAAACTATACTTCCACATCTGAGGTTTCCAACAAATAACTTTTCATCAGTGTAATGTTCTTAAAACATTTCTCTTAAAATTTACAGATGATGACATAAAAAATACCTGGATTTCTTCTGTGCTCACTTCCCAGCAGAAACAGCGCCATCACAGATGCACATTACGGAGAGGCATATCATGCCCTTCATTGCAGCCACAAAAGCACGGGTTTGGACTTCTTGGTGAACAAGGAGGCGAATGCATGCATGCAGAGTTTAACAACCTGAATGCATGATATAATGGAGCTAGAAACACTGCCAAGAAGGATGTGGAACCACACAAACTAATGTGTGTCATGAGGGAACACCTGTTGAGTGTGACACCATCAATTGCTAGTGTATGCCCACAGCAAATCCCAAAGAAGAGGAAATCAGAAAGTTTATAGGCATTATCACTCTATATGTGTGTAAACAAAGACAGCAAAATCAATTATTAAACTTTATTTATTAAAGATAAACACTTTCTTCTTTCCACCAACAAAGACACAGCTGACAATATGTTGGAGAAGACTTAAAAAGATACATGTACTCTTGGTCCATAAGACACCAACCTCCAAACCATGCAGTAACTTTTGATGTATAGAGGCATGCGTAGCCTTAGCCATGTTATAAGCACGTTTTGCAAATATTAAAAACATATTCTATAAACCAAAAACCGATATATTTGTAAATGAACGTACATGTACTGTGCAATGGTGTAAACACACAGGCCTATTTGTCGTGTATATGTATGTCTTTTTCAAACTTGTTAAAAATACTGCTATTTGAAGATACATGCCTAACGGCATGTACTTCGGAGCAACTCCTTCACAGTGAGGACGCCCATGAAACCACCATGCGGCGCACGTAGACCTCTCACGGGTATTCCTCTAAGATGTAGTGTATCAATGTAAACATCAGCGTGTCATGTAATGCCTTGCAAGTGCGTACCGTTAGGTTTGCACAGATCACAGAGCTCCGATACATTGTAAAAGGTCCATTCTTCACGATGGATTTCAAGCGTAGACTGGCAAAACTGTAGGAGCAATGCTTTTGAGGCTTTAACAACGGTCAAAAGTCCAGTAATCGTCGATCATTCACCAACAGACATTAACTTTTAGACACAAAGTGGCCGAACGTACCCTCAATTTAAAAGTCAATTTTGTGTTTTTAACAAGCCATATTCTATAAATATTCATAAACGCAGTGCCTCTCAAAAAGGATTTAATTAAGGTGACCCTTTCAGCTCATTAATATTCACAGTACTTTTAACCACAAGAGGGCGCACTTAAATGGCGCAAATCGTGCGCATGCGCACAACCGCTTTTCCGTGCCGAAACAGCGGTGATTGCAATAGCTCTCATTTCGTACAAATATGACGGTACCATTTTTGTATATAGGTAGGTTCCCCCATCCTCCTGGGTATGTACCTATGCGTCTGTATTGATGTACATGTATGTACTTCGTACTCGTATCATGTACTTTTTATTTCCATGTATTGGTACTAAATTTAAATTTTATGTAAACTTACTTCAATGGATTACCCCACTTTAGAAATATACATACTACATAAGTAAAAATAAACAGTAATTATAATAACTGCACGCTTCATATAGACGACTTATGCAGAACACGTTTCCTGTGTTTTCTGATTACAAATACACTACATAATACACATTTATATGCATGTCCATGTACATTATATAAAACAACCATCCAAAGAATACTAATGTTTTATCTCGAGTAGCCTACGCCCCTCACGTACGGGAACACCCCTACTCGTCACCCAAACATAGAACGACCCGATGAGGAGCTGGCTCCTCAAATTATGCTAATGAGGGAGAAATGGGGCAAAATACAGCGTTCTGATTGGTCAAGAGGCTCGAGAAAACCCCAAAGGGGCGTGGTTTTCTCTATATAGACGGGCTTCACTACTCATGTTCTGTGTAACATTTGGCGCTGGAGGTGCGTACGGCCCAACTCATGGTGAGGTATGGGTATGAGTGGCAACATTGGATGTACATGTGCGAGTATCTTTAATCATAGACTGGAAGAGCCGGCGATATAGGCTGTGTAACCAAAGATTAAGGAACAGGGCGTGGTGACCCTAGTTCCTGGTTGCTCTCTATTCGTGGGGTTCTAACCCATGGTGAGGCTAGAACGTGCGAGCTCTCAGAGCTGCCCGTTTTAGTCTATGTCTCCGGCGGAGGAGCGCCCAAAGCTGGTGGAATGGTGATTGTAGACCTCTTGTTACCCATATTCCATACAATTAATCGTCAGTATATAAATCCAATGTGTAGTATTACACGATATATAAATCCACAAGTATAAATCCGACAGTGAGGAAGAAAAATTTAGCAACTGAGCAAACTGCACCACAAAAGACAAAGACACAGTTGAGTGCGGTGCGGTATATATACACTAGTGTGGCTCATTTGTATATTAATAGTATAACGATACCCTTCTCTTCGAAGGGTGGAGCAAACCTTATTACGAGGGGCATAATACAGCTTGAATCTTGACAACAATGACAAATATAATGTATACTTATCTAGGTCACTGTAAGTGCATCATGCAGTCTGTACATGTATAATGTATCCCGTTCGTAAGTGTGACATCACTTCAGTTTAGACCACGCCCATTGCACACGTGCACTGCACATAGGGTTGCATGCATTGATCGCCGTTTACATGGAACCATGGAACTGGAACTTAACGCGTAACTTCAGCGATCATCCAATGAGAGCCTGCAAATCGTAGCGCGTTTGCCTTTGTGACGAAGTCACTTACGAACCGGATGCACGTGTGTGGCTTTAGACACGCGGCATTAACAACAACTCCGCAGATGTGAATCATGCTCGACATTTTGTTTTCTCATTGTTGGGTATTGCAACTGGAAGCCTCAACGATGTAAGCCTAAATCAACATTTTTAAGTGACTGATTTGGAGCTGCAGTTCGCTGCTGGTGATAGCCTTTAATCTCGGCAGAGTCGTGAGTGATTCTCTCCATTACTAACGTTTATAAGTGTGATTATTTTGCTGAAATTTTCTGACAAGGTGTAGCGGTCTTCTAACAATGAGCTTTTTAATGCTGGGTCAATTTACGTTGTATATTGTATCCATGACTTAGTATAACACACGAATATTTCAGAATGTTATGTCAGAAACCTTATTTTGATAAATTATTTTGATTGATTTATATCACAGATTAAACGTAGTAAACATCCCACGTTGACAGGCAAATTTGTGTTGCAAGTTTAACTTTTTTTCGGGGCGTCAGTGACTACAGAGCTAGGCTTATCGGCAAGAATGTAATATCAAATCAGTGCTCTGAAATATGTGACAGCCGAGCTTTCGGTAACTGAGTACCTTCTTCAGGGCAAGCAGATTTGAATCTGCTTGCCCTGAAGAAGGAGAATCTGCTTGCCCTGAAGAAGGTACTCAGTTACCGAAAGCTCGGCAATCACACATTTAAGAGCACTGATATGATGTTATATTCTTGTCGTTATTCTGATCAAGGTGCTACGCAGCCATTCCATATTAGGCTTATCGGCAGTTGCGCAGAACCTGCAACAACGATGATGGCAATGATTACATTGGAGACGAACTGCATTATAGTTCCATGATCGGACAGACCTTTCTGCAATCATCCAGGGCTTCATTTGTAGCTCGATGATTAAGTAACAGAAGTTATCACCTCTATGCCAGGTTTCCGGTTTCGGGTGTGCAGTTTGACTGAGGAGTATCTTGAGAGTCCGCTATTCCCACTAAACAGGCGCGTCGCACTACCTACATAGATATTTATGGCTGGCCCACGTGGAAGGGGGACACATCATGAAATACGTTTGATGGCGATTCAAATCTCTTTTTTTTTTTTAATATACGATTGGTCCAATGCATTGGAAATGTACACTTTTGTTTTGGCTTTATATTGACTTTACGCAAGGTATCTGTGGATTGACATGAAAGCGTTTACGTAAAGTGCCAGCTGGTTGTAAATTTATGCACACACGAATAAGATTGGTAAAATCCCCAAATCGGACTACCATATAATCGCGAAACATCTTACTTGAAGGAAAGTACATAACAGTCTCAGTTAGTCTGTAAAATATTTCCGGTCAGAATGCTGTAGTTTTCGAGAAATCAGAAACTTTGTTCTCGTTTTCATGATGGTCGGCCGATTATCGTTGAAGAGTTTTTTCACTTAGGCCTAGCAAATCACATTCAGCACTAAGTTTCTTGTGTGTTTGGAGATGTTGTGGAAGTCTCCAGTAATAACAGATTAATACTAAATCAGCTAAAATATACCGGTAGAGATTCAACAAACGCACTGTGAACTGAAATTATAGGAAACTCTGCGTAAAGTGTAAATAGAGAATGAATTGGGTCTGTGTGAAGTTAAATTTTATTTTAAATGGAAAGAATTTTTCTTAACGCGAACCATTGCGAATTCAAAATCATCCCTATAGAGCATAACAGTATGGTACAAATACGGTGGCTGTTTCTGAGCTGCTTAGCGAAAGGACTTTCGTCAACAAGAAGGTACGACGTGAATATAGTCACAAGCAAGATCTTGCAAGTACGTGCATTATCATATTCTCAATTTAGTGTCAAGGACACGGGTCGACTGCATTCGTATTCCTGGATGAAGTAACTTCAACTTAAAAACTGCTTTTTCGTTTGGTGTGAATTCGTAGTAGGCCTACTGCATTGTCGAGGAGGCGCATTACTCCAAGGTAAATTCACTGATTACTCCTGTCCGTGGAAACTGCTCCTTTTTAAAAGGAAGGACAACCTGTCATGCCTGCTCTCACCCTGACCCCGCGGGTGTTGTTTGCTTCCTACATAGGCCATGTACTTCACAGATTTTGCGCAATATAAAACTACCATATCTTAGATTTAATTGTAGAAAAACCGCGCTATTTTTCAGAAATTAAAAAATGGAATAAAAAAGAAAACAATGATGGACAGCTTTTTGTGTGTAAGAATACAGCTTGGAGATAAGAACTTTTAAAGTAAGACTGCATTTGGCAACACTCCTCGTATCTTGCACGAAAGCGTATCCTTAAATCTTAAGAGAAATTATGTGAGGAAATTTTTTTTTTCATCTTTTTCACGATTTTTTTACAGTTTATGCCACGTTCCAAACCATCCCCGTCTCGCATGTGTATCTGACCTCTTCTGTTCGGGGAGAGGAGATGATTAGTCTATTTTATGATGGGTTACTCAAGTCCATTCTAGCCCCGAAATGGTTAGGTGTAAATTGTTTTAATAATTAAAGAATTAAATATGTACGTCTACAAAACCTGGCAAAATGGTTTTCTTTTTTTTTAATATAGTTAACGAGAAGAAATGTACTTAAACATTTGGGGCACGTTTATCATGCACAGACACAATAGGCAAACAAATTCAGACTTCGCCTTGGTTATCGTCATTAAAAGGGTATGTTTAAAAGGCTGGAAATGAATGGTACATGACACTACAAAAATCCCCCAAAATTAAAAACAAAGGGGAACAGCAGAGGCAAAAATTTTTCCATCGCGATTTATTCCCCCATTTAAATTTGTTCAAAAATGCTATTAACAACGCTACACCAAAAATACATGTTATACTTTGTACGAAACTATAAATGCCAATATAAAATGTTACTGAAAGACAAAACATTTCAAACAGTTCACAACAAACTTATTTTGGAAAACAGTTTTATTTGCCAATATGCTTCGCACCATACCACAACGTAGCGGGTGGTGTCAGGTTAACGTGAACTCGACTGTGTTACAATAAATTATAAACCATGGGCGTGCCAATATTTTGACATAGTGTGAATAGTATGAAAACTGTTTCACTTTTGCATAATGCATGTTATTTAAGTGGAAAGATGCTTAAAGTGGAGTGTACTAGTATTGTTTCCCGGACCGACATCAAACTTCTTGACACTTCATAAAGTAAAAGGTATGCAAAATTATTTTCTCAGAATTATTTTCTGAGCATTATACTAATCGAAGTCAAACTCGTTCATAGCCTGCATAAAAGTAATAAATGCGCAAACGTATCATGTAACGACGATGCATACAAATATGAATTAATTCTACAGGTGTCATTAACAATATAAACCGTTCCTAATATCATCTAAATATTGATTGTTACACAAAACCTAAAATCAATTATTCTACACA